ACTTGTCGTTATGGCCCCTGAAAATACTTCATGGCCCCAAACAGGGCCATATGGCTCACGTTGAGAAACTTTAGAGAACAGACATCTACATGGGTGGTTTAATCTTAACTTCTTTCTGTGAAAAGTCACTCATCATCTATCTCTGTATAGTCACTGGTTAAGCAATGTTAAGTACCTTGATGGGTGACAGTTTGGGTGCTGCAAACTTAGATGTGTGGATTGTGTAATGGATAATGCCCAGAACTGTTAGAGAACAGTTTCAAATCCTTTTAGGTTCTAATATTCACATATGTGCAAATACCCTTGGTAAAGGTATGAATCAACTTCTTCTCCCCCGGCTATGTGTTAATTAGTAAGACTTGTCTCACTAAATTTTTATTTTCTCAAAAATAAAAAATAAAATCTAAAAATGTTTTCTGACTTTAAATAACCTGCAAAACCGTAGAAAACTAATCCTTATCTATTATGTACATCCTAATCCTACATTCATATCACTCACCTCATTCAGTAACCCACTACCTTGAGTGGCTCTTGAGATTTATATTGGGTAAACACTAGCATAAAAAAAAACAATGGTGAAAAAGTTTTTAAAAATGGGTAGTTATCTCCCCTTCCGTTTCAATCCATTAAATGCCACCAATTGTAAATGACAATTCTCATTATTGCTGGAAAATACTCATGAAAAATGATCTGTTTACTGCTTTTTTTTTTTTTTTTTTAATTTTAAATGACACCAAATCAGTTTACTAACATTAAAATCACTATTTGATGACTTTAAGTTTTTTTTTTTTTTTTTTTTGTATTAAAAATGATTAATGATTTTGAATACATAACCAGATCACTGTTCACTGCCTTTAACCCTAACACCAACCCTAACATATTTCATACTTCCAACAGTTGATAAATCTCATACCATAGAAAATGAATAGAAGATAGTAGCACCATGCTTCTGACTTCATTCAGTTTAAATTTAATGAAATTAGGTTGAGACTCAAGAATAGAAATTTCAGTTTTTTTTGTACACTTTTTCTTTGAAAAAGAATTGAGCCTATGTTTTTTTATATATATATATATATATATATATATATGGTTGGATAGATGTGAGTTTGTGACCCTGGGTTTCACGCTTTAGCGATCGTCAGACAAAATGTTAGCTCTATCTCTGATATTGAGCACTTTCTAATAAGTACCGCGCATATAATATATAAATAATTATACATACATATATATAATTATTTATATACACTTTTCACACACACACACACACACACATATATATATATATATATATATATATATATATATATAATTACACACTTACACATATCATACTCACTCATTCCCTAAGAACCAAATAACACACACACATAACAGACACATCCTCTCTCCAGGACCAATAAAACTGTCAAACTGACCACGGGAATTCAGAGAAGCATAGATCCATCCAGATCTTATCTCAAATAACAACTTAAGAGACTGTTTGACCAACACAAGGAATGTTAAAAGATTCATGTTAAAAAGATAAAAAAATAAAAAAAAAAAAAACAAATGAAAACTACAGACAAAAGTTCATTTTCTCAATCAAGACATTCATTTCTGTAGTTCACTGCTACCAGCAAGCAGAAATATTTCTTCTCCTGATGATGGCCATGTTGGCCAAAACTAGTCGAGGAATCTAAATGAATTAATAATAAAAACGAAAGTATATTAATCTACAACCCAGTGTGTCTGAAGATTTTAATATTTTTTATTGTTCAATATATATATATATATATTCAAAATAGTGTACTTGAAGTACAATTTTAATGAGCTGTTTTAAGAAATCTATTTTTATAAATTTCAGCTGACAGTAACACATTTTTAATTTCTACAAATAACAAAGCAATAAGTAAATTCTGTGCTTTTTTTTGTCTGCTCACAGTTGAAAAAGTTTGGTAATATCTGATTAATATATTTATAAAGAAACTAATTTGAGACAAACCTCTTAATTGCTGTCCTTGGGTCCACCCTGACTTAGGGTTTTAGCCCCTATCAGGATCCTAATTATGGGCAGATAACGATCCCCACCTACCCCACAAACAAAAATCAAAACACTAGGAAATTATAAAAATACATTTTTATATTGTAAAAAAAAAAAAAAAAAAAGAAAAAAATCCTGTAATACACTATTTAAAAAAAAAAATGACCAGCAATACATTTTCATAGTATAACGATGAAGAAACAATACATTATCATAGTATAATGACCAACAATGTGACACTAAAAAAAAAAAAGTATAAAAATATATTTTTTTTATAGTAAAATGACCAACAATACATTTTTATAATCTGCAAACTATATATCTTATATATATATATATATATATACACACACACACCTAGTGAGCCAGACAAACCTACCTAGGTTTCACCTAAACAGATCAGGGAAAGTCAAGGTCTGCTCTACGGTTGTATTGAGCGCTTTGTTAGTTAGTTGTTTACTTGTATTGGGGTTTTTTTCTTTGGGCTTCAGACCTGTATCTGTGCGATTTTTTTCGACAGACGTTCATGTTTCTAGCTCTTTCTTTTTTTAAAACCTTTTTTTCCCTCGAGATTGATTTGATTAGCAAATCAAAAATTCGAGGGTTTTTTGAAACGAGTTTAGTTATATATATATATATATATATATATATATATATATATATATATATATAATATTTACCCTGAAAGTATAAAATTATTTACAAATTATCTGTAATTGTGAAAGCATGAACTTGCATTTGAAACATATATAGCTTAAGCTGTAAAATTGCATAGATTTCAGCACTAAATAACCCATAGAGGTTAATATGCCACTAAACAAAATCAACCAAACCTATTGAAACAATTCTAATATGTTCACCTTGTGAGTTTTCTTGTAGTTTAAGATCTTTTGATGAAAGAAACAATCTATTATTTGTGTTAGAGAAATAATCACTGTTGCCTTCATCTTTGTAGTCTACAATCATCTTCTGCATTTATAGAATTGATTATAGATTTGATAGGATTTACTAAAATAATTACAAAATTGATCTGCATGTTGCTGTTTAAAAAGAAAAATCTGATAAAATGAACAATTACCCTCACCCCTCTTTTATATAACTGGCTGGGTAATAGAGAGTTCAAATTCCAGTTTAGTCTGTTACATTTGCTTTAACATGAGGGGTCTTGGGAAAGGCATAAATCTTTCTTCTCCCTCCAGCTATAGGTTAAATAAGAAGGAACTATCCTGCTTGTTTAAGCCATAGCTGGGGGGAGAAGAGAAGGGTTTCTTGTTTTGTGTGGTAGCCTGTCAAGGAAAGTTAAATCAAAATTATGGAGAGGACAATAGAAAATCAGTCCACTAACTTTTGCAAGAAGTCCTGCTTATTCCCAGATAATAAAGAAAAGCATTCTGTGGAAAGCCATGATCACCTGTGTCATAAAGGAAGAAACCTGACTCTGAACTCAAAATCATGAAGATAACACTGAAACACCACTCAACTATCTTTCCCCAGGAAGTCATGGCATTTCATAGAATAAAGAAAAGGAATGTTGGAAAAGAATTATTCTGACTTCAAAACCATAGAGAACGTAATGGGGAAACCATTCCACTATCTTACCAATAAAGAAGTTACCTTTCAGAAGATAATGCTTAATTCCAAATCATATAGTATATGTGGGGAAAGCACTCCACTATCATTCTTAGAAGGTCATGGTCATAGACAAGATAATAAAGAAAAGGTTTCTGGAGTGTCATAGCACTGACATAAAACAAAATGGCCCCAGAAAATGCTAATGGGTGGGAATTAATTTCAGTATTCATTTGGTACCTTTTTATTGTAGTTGCATAGAAGTGGTGGTGGGGCTATTCTCTATATCTCTCTCATATATATATATATATATATATATATATATATATATATATATATACACACACACACACACTGTATTTAAAAAATATGTATATTTTTCATTGATTTTCCTAACATTATATATATATATATATATATATATATATATAAAAATTCTCTGATTTAACCAGTAGAAGACAATATTTATGAATAAAAATGACAATAGGAAAACTGGTAATTGCTGACGTGGACTTTATCAAAGCAAAATACGAAAAAATTCGTATTTTGCTTTGATAAGGTCCACATTGGACTAAATGCGTTAGCAATTACCAGTTTTCCTATTGTCATTTTTTTTATATATATATATATATATATATATATATATATATATATATATATATATATATATATATATTCTTATAATTTTCTACATATGTGTGATACCTTGCCCTTGTCAGCTGCCAACCAGGGGAGGTAACACAGTTTCGGTAACTAAGGCTTTTGTCACCAGACAAAAGCTACTGGAGATGTTATTTCTTGGTGTAAATGTGCCAGTGTCATAATTTGGCTAACTTCTATCCTTTATTTTGTGCTGATGACTAAATGTAATTTTTTTTTTTTTTTTTTTTATTTGTATTGCAGGTCCGTTTGTGAGCACTTTGGCCAACAAATATGGTTGCCGTAAAGTCACCATTGCTGGAAGCCTCTTTGCAGCCGCAGCATTCTTCATCAGTAGCTTCTCGACTAACATTCAGATGTTGATAATTACCTATGGTGTTCTTGGAGGTAAGCACAAAAATTTAGAAAAGACAATTGTATTTAACTAAAGCATATGTTGCAAGCCCAGCGAATAGTCAAGGGTTAACAAAACACTGGTTCCTGTACAATCACCAAAGTTGAGCCTGGTCAGTACCTAGATGGATGAATGCTTGCGAATACCAGGTACTTTAAATTTGAATGTGCGGGTGTTGTAATGGATAATGACTTGGAATTGTTAATCAAAGAACAGTTCTAGTTGGGTTTGTTATATTCAGTTACTTGCAGATACCCTTGGGAAAGGTATGAATCCACCTCTTGCTCCCGGATGTGTGTTAATTAGTAAGATGTGTATCACTAAACTATTATGTCAAAAAAAAAAAAAAAAAAAATTCTGGCTTTAAATAACTTGCAAAGGTTTGATGAGCCATAGAAAATGTACCCTCTACTGTGCTGCTACATATAGTAAATGGGGTGGTGCTGTTCTTGTGTGAACCTCCAGTATCTTCACATAACTAATATCAGCATTTACAAAATTTAACTGTCCTGGGTAAGACGATAAGCTACATTCAATAGCAAGGCGTCTGTTCAGGAGGTTTTGAGGAGCATGGAGCCACCTCTTAATTGCTGGTGTTCCCAGGTCCATCCTGACCTGGGGTGGTAGCACCTGTTAGGGTTCCAACTATAGGCAAATAGTTAACCCCCACTCTGGGTAAAAAAAAAAAAAAAACTATGAAAATGTAAAAACAGGTTTTAATACCAACAATATATTTTTGAGTAAAAAAACAAAAAAAAAACATACATTTTTGAAGGAAAACATTATGAGCGATACATTTTTGAAAAAAAATTATTACCAACAATAAAAATCTTGTTGGCATTAAATAACCCATTGAGGTTGATATGCCATAAACCAAACCAAACCAAAATTTAGCTTATGGAGATACACTAATGGAACACTATCTTAATCATGGCTCTCCAAAATTTAATGTCCTTTTTTTTTTTTTTTTTTCTTTTTTTTAATTTCTCTTAAACCTTGTTCCGCTATCCATTTATTCAGTCTCACAAAGTATATTGTATATTGTTTTCCTTTGTCCCACTTGCCTTCAATCTGTCTTGGGAGAATCAGATTTGTCAAACCCTTTTTCCTTATGTGCCCAACATATTTTGACTGTCTATTCCTCATCATAAGTATAGGTTTCCTTTTTGTTTCCACCAGTCTACTTAAATGACTTGATAAATGATATTGCCAGTACATTAAAGAAGATAGATTTCATTTTAGCAATTGTTTTGTTTGCTTCTCAGTTATTTTCTTTTGATTATGCCTCAAGGAAGATTTTTTTTTTTTTTTTAAGGCAGTGTAAAACAAATATGCAAGGTGGGGTGTTGAAGTTTTTGGTTGATTCAAGATGACCAAACAACCTACAATTTGGGAAAGAAAAATAAGACAATAAATCTAGCAGTTATTTTTTTTTCTTTCAAGTAAATGAAAAACAAAATTCCTTTGAAAAAGATTCAAAGTTTTTAAAAAAAATTGTCTAAAAAGAGTAAAAAAAAAAAAAAATTTTTTTCCTTTAATGTTTTTGACATTAAAGAAAAAATTTTTTTTTTTTAATCTTTTTAGACAATTTTTTTTTTTCTTTAATCTGATGCTAACCTCCAGGCAAGTGATTCCTTGTGTCTTATCAGGTTGACACTTTCCGTGGAAAGATTATATTGAATCAATTCCTTGGTTGACTGTGCTAGACAATTTTTCTTGCCAGAATCTATCTTATTCATTTATAAGTCTACCATACAATCATGCACTAAATATTGCTGCCCCATCCAATCTGGGGCTTCTGCTATGTATTTAGAAATTCTTGATGAAATACAAAAAATCTGCAATTTTAATGGTCCTGACCTGGCATCTAAACTTCAGTCACTGTCCCACTGCCATTACATAGCTTCTTCATGCCTTTTATATATTTTCATGGTAATTGTTCCGAGCTTTCCATTTTGGTACATAGACTTTCTGAATTCAAGTGCAGTATTAGACTGCCAGCAAAGTTTCCTCATTTTACAGTTTAAATTGCTAGATACAATGAAGTTCTATGCTAGCAGTTTCTTCTCTTGCATTTCTCACTTGTGAAACTCTTCTGAGTTTAAAAAAAAAAAAAAAAAAAATTGTTTCCCTTGTTTTAAAAATCTTTGTAATTTTCCAAACGTATGACCATTATTTTATTTTGCTTTGCTATTGCTCACTTGATATCTTGTTAAATACGAAATGATCTCACAGGAAATTTCTTATTTTAAAAAAAACAAAACTTTTTTTTTTTTTTTTTTTTTTCAGGAATTGGATTTGGTCTCATCTACCTCCCTTCAATTGTGATAATTGGCTACTGGTTTGAAAAGAAGCGGGCCTTTGCCACTGGTGTAGCAGTATGTGGCACAGGTCTTGGCACTTTCCTTTTCCCTCCAATCATAGAGTACCTGTTACAGAGATACAACTGGCAAGGGAGTACCCTCATAATATCAGCTTTGATTCTCAACTGTGCTGTGTGCGGAGCGCTTTTCCGGCCAGTGCGGCCTCAGGCCAAACGTATGAAACGTGGATTTGTTGCTCAGGGCTCGATTATGAAAGCCCTGATCGAGGAGAAAAAACGACAACGTACTATTTCCAACGGATCTCTCGACAACTGCATCATCACCAAGGACAACAGATTGATTAAGCTAGAACGTATCGGATCAAACCGGAGTAGCATTGCATCATATTTTACCAAATCAAAAAGTCCTTACAGTTCGAAGTGTCCAAGCAAAAACAGTTTGCTTCCACCGAACATTGTAGTGGAGAGTTTGAAAAATGGCAATGCTGGTAGTACGAAGCCACTAAGTACCAACTTCTTACGGCCTCCAATGTTTCCTTCAATGGAAATTCCAGAAGGGAGCAAATCAGTCCCTGGTAGCACGATGTGTATGCCCAAGGCACAAAGTTGTGATTCACTGACTCTAGAAGACCCGTGGGACAAGCTATCGGAAGAGGGCTCTCTAAGCACGCGGAGTCTCAGTTATGTCGGTGTCAGTGATTCTCGGATGGAAGTAAATGACGAACCAGCAGAACAGCAGTCTTTGCCAAATAGCAATTCAGCCAGTCCGTGTGAGAGCCGATGCGAGAGCCGGCTGACAATCAACAGTTATCCTGAGGATACCCGTAAATATTTACTTTATGACAAAAGACAAGACCTGCCCCCATGTCTCATGGGCAGTAGTCTTGTCAGTATCACAAAATTTCAGGCCAGTATTCGTAGTTTGGATAGTATATATGAAAACACGGGTCATTCCATCAAGCTTTTTCAGATGATCCAAGAAATTATTGATCTGTCCCTTTTCAAGAATGTCACGTTCTGTCTTCTCCTTACCTCAAGTTTTCTTAGCATGTTAGGTAAGTATTAAATAAACATTTGTTACTATTATAGATGAGTAACTCAAGGGTGGGGCACCAGCCATAGAAAGATGATTAAACATGATAATCCCACAGGCTTTGGTTAGATTGTCCCACTGTCGGTGTAGAAAATCATTCTTGACAGTTGGTTTTTGAGATTATCTATTTCTCTTAATATATGTCAATAAATAAAAAGACTTTGTTACTTCTCTCTGAGATGCTTATCCTTACTCATATAAAGCTTTTTGCATATATTGAGGTAGGTAGATATTTGAAAGAAATGAAATGATGTAAACTTATATGGAATAAAAAATATATGTATGAATCTGCATATAATATAGCATAATAACTTTGAACTTAGATTTATTAATATTTATTTTATAGCTCTGTTTAACTACATTGAGCCCTGTTTTGTTTACACTGTAAATTGAATATTTATTTGCTTATATGTATATTATTATACACATATTTGCTAATATCTCATTTAGTTTGTTCATATATATATATATATATATATATGTGTGTGTGTGTGTACATACACACATTAATTTTCATGGATACTCATATTTGAGTAGATGCTCTGTTTACTTATAAAACAGTATTTTAATTTATGTCTACTATCCTGAATGTTTCAAATCTTATTAGACAAAAATTAACACTCTATGGCAGTAATTCCTCCAAGCAGAGGGAGCTATCATTAAATCCAACCTGTTTCTTTCTACATGCTTTTTTTTCTTTATTTTATTTTACTTTACTTTACCTTTCTTTATGCTCTAATATCCTTCTGGTGTAAGTTTTAAAATTTTTCTTCCATCATATATTTTAACCATTTTGCTAAGATTTATTCATATTTTCTGGAATTCAGATGAAAACTTTGAAATTTACCAATATTTTTCAGTCAAATTTTGACGTTCCCAAATTTATAATTTAGATATATGAAAAAAGAATTGACCCTTTAAGCTGATACCAGTAGGATATCAGCTAAATGTTATTTTTCAATGGTAAATTTAAAAAAAAAAAAAATCAATTTTTCAAATGATTTTTGTTTCAGGTTTTTTCATCCCAGTATTTTACCTGCCCACATTAGCCAAGCAAGTTGGCATGGACAGCCAAGCTTCTTCTTACCTGGTGTCTGTCAGTGGTGTTACTAACATTATAGGACGTCTTCTGTCTGGCTTTTTGGCTGACCGACCAGTTTTTGGAGCACTTCACATCAATAATACAGCATTAATTGTGGTCGGTCTTGCCACTGTGTTTTGTCCCTTTCTTAAGGACCAAACAACACTTAATATTTACAGTGGAATTTACGGATTAGGAATAGGTAAGTTAAATTGATGCTGTCTTTTCTATTTTACACTGGCATCTTCATTTGTTGTTGTTGTGTCATCTCTTTTTACTAATGGTCACCCAATATAAGGCCCAAGTGTCACTCAAGGTAAAGGGTTACTGAAGGAGGTTGTGGTATTAGCAGTAAGCTGTACAAATTGTAGTTTGAGAATATGTGGTAAGATAATGGTTAACTGTAGACTTGAATCTGTATTTTTTAAAATTTATTTTTTAATTTTTTATTTTATTTTTAATTATTTTTTTTTTTTTTTTTTTTATTTTTTAAGAAATTGTGCATAAAATCTGGCAAATTTTTAATCTTTGTCTTATTCTTTGAATTGTCCCTTTCAATATTATTTGCATTATAAAGGAATAATTGTGACTTTTAGTCTCACAGGCTCTGTTTTTCTCGCTCTTAGAATTTGTTCCAGTCAGTGATTTTTCATCCCTTTTCTGTCGCCTTTCTACTGCATATACTTGCATGTGATCAGTTTTCATGATCAGTTTTTTTTTCCTTTTTTCCTCTCTTTCCCGCCCCCTCTTTTCTCCCCCCTCTCTCTGTGTCTCTGCCTCCCCCCTCTCTGCCTCCCCCCTCTCTGCCTCCCCCCTCTCTGCCTCCCCCTCTCTGTCACACTATATACAGGTAATTTTTAAAATTTTTCGTAATGGTTAAAATTAATGCATTTTCAGTTACTGTAACCTACCTGATAGGCCTACATTCCCATGGTAATTTTGGCTAAACTTAATGGTACCTAACTCCTGTAGCTTAGATTCTTTCTCTTACTACATAAACAGCAGAATATCATTCACTATGTGTGGTTCTTAAAACCTACAAAGACCTCCTATAAATGGAGAACTAACCATGCTTTTTTTTTCTTTCCCCAGTTTGCCTTCATCTTCATTTACATGTGTTTACATTACTGAGATATTGCTTTTCCAGTGGCACCTCTTTTGCCTAATAGATATATATATATATATATATATATACCCTACATGTTTCAGTTGTTCCTTCCTTTGTATTCCCCTATTTATTTATTTTTATTTCTGTTTATATATACATCAGTGATTTAAACACTTGCAAAACAAAGATGAATTCAAATTTGAGACAGGAAAAAATCTATTAATTCTTCGTTTATATAAGGTATTTGTTGATTTTTAAGTGGTATATATAATATAGTGGATAAATTTTTGCTGTTCATGTAACGACAAAAGGGAAGAAACTTAGGCTACATAGGAAACAGTTCCCGGATAAGGAAACTACCAAAGTCAGGCATGAACAAAAACAAAATTATGGTATCCAAACTTTAGTATCTGGTATTTTATGGTAAGTGGGTTTTCTCACCATTTTGGCATAGCTTTGTGCAAAAATTTGATTTGTTTCTTATGGTTTATTAATCCTTTGCACATTATTTATAGTTAGAAAATATTTTTAGATTGTAAGAATTTTATTTATTTATTTATTTATTTTTTTTTAAATAATTCTTTAGTGATACAGGTTTTACTAATTGGCCCATAGCTAGATGGAGGTGGATTCATATCTTTCCCAACAGTATTTGTATCTAAGTGAATATAATGACCCCAATAGGAATTGAAACTCTGATTAACAATTTCTAGCCACTATTATAACACCACCTGCACATTCAAGATAACAGCACCTGGTCTTCCACTGTGGTCACCCATTGAGATATTGACCATGCTAAACTTTGCTTAAGTTTTGTATTATATGGAAACTTGTGTTTCAATGTGATGTGAAAGTAAGACTGTACAAAAAAGACTGAAGACCATTTATTTGCTGGAAAATGTCCTGCAATATTTGATTCATATATATATATATATATATATATATATATATATATATACACACACACACACACAAGTATAGGATTGGTGTATATGGAATAAATTCCAATAACCAACAAAATACTATTCTTAAAAGAGTGCTTAATAGAGAGTAGAGCAAATATAATTATTTATTTAAAAATTATAACATAAATATGTTATAAAATCACTACAAAAATAGCCATTTTGTTTCAACACCTCTGGTGCCTTATCAAGTGATGATGTTGAATGTAGATTGCAGATTTGCTAAAATATTATTACAGTTAGATTTACGTTAAAAATATTCGAACACAATGGTGTTCCATATCACGTGACGTCCGCATCTTGCGATGGACGCTACTTGTAAACAAACCTTTAAAAATGATTATTTCTGAAGAAAGATTGAGGTCGCTCTGAAATATCAAAACTACATATATATATATATATATATATACACACATTCATAAAAAACATTATTTTTTAATTTGCAACTTTATATATATATATATATATATATATATATAAAGCAGTATTTAGAAAAATGACAATCTGTAAAGTATATTTATTTTTTTAATTTTTTTGTGACATGTTTCGTTCATTAAGATTTCATTGGACTGGGCTTTGATCATTTGCCACATCTACACATGTGCATGAAACGAGAGATGCAGGTAGTTTCAAAATATTTTGAAAGAATATTTTTTTTCTCATTCTAGCCGAAATCAACTACAAGAATGGTGATATATTGTAAGAGCCCAAATACAAATTTAAAAGAAAAATGTCTGGAAAGTGCCTTGATCACTAGTTCAGCGACAATAAATTTGCATCCTGGCTCTTATATCACCATTCTTGGTAGATTTCATATTGTCACAGTGTGGGATAGTCAGGAACAAAGGTGGCGGAGAGAAAAAGAATACACATGATTTCGGCTAGATTGAGAAAAAAAAAATTCTTTCAAAAATAGTCTTTCAAAAGATTTTGAAACTAACAGCATCTCTTGTTTCATGCGCATGTGTAGACATGGCAACGTCATAAAAGCCCAGTCAGATAAAACGCATCACAAAAAACTTTCTGATTTTTCATATTTTTCTAAATATATAATAATAATAAATAATATATTACCTATAAGTTGTTTTTACAAATACAGGGCTCAGTTTCACTATTAAAAACAAAGGTGAAATCAAATATAACCTCAGATATGTTAGTTGTTGGTTGCGTTAGTGCATGAAATATTTATTTTCAAATTGAAATTACTGGTGATTTCATTCTGTTTATATATTTATTTATTTATTTTTTAAAGAAATAATGGATTTTTTCATTTATTATTCCAAAAGAATTTTTTCAATTTAAATGTTATTTTTAGTGGAATTTTAATAAATGAATAGTATATATTCAAATCTGAGTGTCTGCTAAAAATAACATTTAATGTGAGATATATATGATATGGCCTGACAATTTATTCACTGCATACTGTACATGAAGTAGGCTTAGACACGAGTATATATGGTACTGTATTTCCAAGCATGCGTTTTTAGATATATCACCAGCATCTTTATCCAATCAACATTTTAAAAGATTGTTTATAAGCATGAATAAGAGAATATTTAAACCAAATAAAAATTCACACACTGACTTGAGATCCAAGCTGAAGTTGCTCTCTGCTTACTTACACATGATAGGGTTCAAAAGTGTCTATGCAGCTTTATGGATAATTATTTCTTACCCTACAAACCGTTTCCCACAGATGAAACCTCACATGCCTATTGTTATTTCCACGGCATGAGTTCTGATGAGCTACTACCTGGGTATGATAAGCTACATCTGATGGCAAAGGCCTCCTCTGATTGGAAGATTGGAATTTTTGATGAGTGTCAAACCACCTCTTTAATTGTTGTTGCTAAGTCCACCCTGACCCAGTGTGTGGTAGCACCTGTTAGGGACCTAGCTATGGGCAAATAGTGAATTCCCCCAAACGAAAACAAAACACTATGAAAGTATAAAAATACCAGCACTACATTTTTACATAATTACCAACAATAGGTATTTATAGTAAAAATGACCAATAATACATTTTGTCAGTCGTTGAAAGCATACAGTTGTTCAAAATATTTATTCATCATTAAATCAATCAGCAGATGAGCATCCTGGGTATGACGATAAACTGCATGCGCGTCCTGGGTATGACGATAAACTGCATGCGCGTCCTGGGTATGACGATAAACTGCATGCGCGTCCTGGGTATGACGATAAACTGCATGCGCGTCCTGGGTATGACGATAAACTGCATGCGCGTCCTGGGTATGACGATATAAACTGCATGCGTCCTGGGTCCTGGGTATGACAGCGATAAACTGCATGCGCGTACAGCGATAAACTGCTGGGTATGACGATAAACTGTCCATGAGCGATAAACCGCGCGTCCTGGGTATGACGATAAACTGCATGCGGCGTCCTGGGTATGACGATAAACTGCATGCGATAAAATGCGCGTCCTGGGTATGACGATAAACTGCGCATGCGCGTCCTGGGTATGACGATAAACTGCATGCGCGTCCTGGGTATGACGATAAACTGCGCCCAACAACAAGGCTTCAGATAAGCCGGAAACAATAATAACGTTAATGTTGGAAACAATGTTTGCTATTTAATATAAATAACTCATGCTAGATAGAAACATTTGAAACCATTTACTTGTATTTATTTGTATAGGTATGTGTGTGTGTGTGTATATATATATATATATATATATATATATATATATATATATACTTTAATTTGGCATTAAATGACCCACAGTGGTTGATATGCCATAAAACCCAACCAGCTGATGAGCTACGTTTCTTGAGCTTTATGTCTGAAACCTGCCAAGTGTAAATCTTTCCCATTCACTTCATATTTCAATAGAAGTAAACTCCATAGAGATAGGATTTATTTTTTTTTTTTATTTATTTAAGAACTATTGTTTTGTGGAACAGACCCCCCCAACAAGATGTTTTTGCAATCACTACAATCTTGACCTAGGGTTTACCATTCCATTAACTTCACTTTCCTTTTCTTATCTCATACAAAACTTCATAATGCCCTTCTTCCTTGAGTGGCTCTTGGGCCTTGTCTTGGGTTAGCATTAGCATAAAAAAAAATTACAACACTCCTTCTTTACATGCATTACATACATATATATCTGGCATTTTGCATATCTTGAAATATTAAAACATGTTTTCTATCTCTCTCTCTCTTCAGCGGCATTCGTATCATTACGGTCAATCCTTTTAGTAGACCTGATTGGTCTTGATCGACTGACTAACTCTTTTGGGTTGCTAATTCTTTTCCAAGGAATAGCCTCAATGGCAGGATCCCCTCTAGGAGGTAAGCAATTCTTTGATGTTTTCAAACAAATAGATATATTTCCATTAGAGAGCTGCAATCTTTCCATGTTAACATGAATTGGCACCTGTTATACATTTTTCAGAAGTTTTGTCTGTTTGGATGTTATTCTGTGTTTGTCTGGTATTTGCATATTCACACGTTATGAGCACTCTCTCAAATGAGAAAAACACTGGTGTTATATAGTTATCTCCATCCGAGATCCATGCTGACTATTGGCTAATATCTGCCTAGTATCATTCATATGCAAATAGGCCAAATAGTCAGTGCCACCTACTCTAAGCCTATTGTAGAAGAGGACGCAACTCTTGGTGCTTCCAGCACTACCTACAAACAACCCTGAGTCTTTTCTCGGGCTGACCTGATTCTCTGTTAAATATTCTCAGTTAATGTCTACCATAAGATCTGCTATTATAAAGATTATTAAGCAAACTTTAACTTTCATGCCTGCAAAAAAAGTGTGTCAATGGTGGGTTTATTTTTTTTTTCCTTTGATGCTGCTGTTATTTTTTACTGCTTTCACACTCTTGGCAATGTTTATTTACAAGTTTATAAGAATATGTCAACCAAGTACAATGCAATATTCATTATTTATCTTTTATAAAGAAATAGATGTGAAAAGAAATATTTTTATTCAAAATTTTAGTTGTCAAAATATGTAATGCAATATTTATTTACCATTTTATAAATAACTGTGAAAACAAATTTTTTATTTATAATTTAATAAAAATGTAAATGAATTGCTGCATGAAAAATGTTCAGAAAATACATTTTGGCAACAAAATTATAATTTATTTAAATTTGTGTGACAGGCATTTTTTTTAGAAATGAATAAAAGAAAAATTCTCACTTATTTCTTTATAAATTGACTAGAAGCATGGCCCGGCGTTGCCCGTGCTTGATTCAAAAATTGTATGACTCTTACAGCACTGCACGCACTAACCTGTTTCTTCCTGCGCATAGCGTGACCTTAAATTAATCTGCATTTAGGAAAAACCCAACCAGAAAAACATTTTTAAGGGTTGATTGATTGTCTATTTGCACTCTGGTTGTGGGGGTGCTCAGAGTTGAAACTTCACATGGTGACTCCCAATGGTCTCCTCATAAATACGATTGGTTTTCACTAAAAACCGACATGCAGTTCAGGTGCAATCTGGGCGTATCAGCTTTTGGGTTTTATCGATTTTCCGTGCTGTTTCGGGGTCCATGGTCATGAAACTTCTGGACAACACTTCTAAAGGTAGACTCTAAGAGGGTGTCAAATTTGGTTGAAATGCAATAATTCCTTTTGTAAGCAGATTTTTTCGATTATCGATTTTTTTCGGAACCTGAGTCCGAACTGAAAAATCGGGCTGCGTCATGTCCTTAAGGCAGCCATTTGCAAACTTGTGGTGAAAACCACATAGAAATCGGATGAGAAATGCAGCCTGGGCGAGGTAACAACGCCCACGACACACACACACACACACAGCATTATCGATTTTTTTCCGGAACCTGAGTCCGAACTGAAAAATCGGGCTGCGTCATGTCCTTAAGGCAGCCATTTGCAAACTTGTGGTGAAAACCACATAGAAATCAGATGAGAAATGCAGCCTGGGCGAGGTAACAACGCCCACGACACACACAGACAGCATTATCGATTTTTTTCGGAACCTGAGTCCGAACTGAAAAATCGGGCTCAGTCATGTCCTTAAGGCAGCCATTTGCAAATTTGTGGTGAATACCGTATTGAAATCGGGTGAGAAATGCAGCCTGGGCGAGGTAACAATGCCCACGACGGACAACATGAGAAATATAGATAGTAGATAAATAATAATTATACCATTGTAATTGCTTGTTTTGCAGTTTTTTTTGGGTTTTTTTTAGAATGTTATAAATATAAAATTCTTGTAAATAAACAATCTAATAAATATTGTTTAAGTTTTATTGTAAATTCTCAATGAATAAATTGACTTTCATTTGGTTTTTATAAAATTTAAATCATTGCTTTTTAAAACAACAAACCTTGCCAAAGGAGTGAAGATAGTTAAAAATAATAGTGGCATCAAGGGAAAACTGTCCTTTTGGCATACTGTTTTTATTGCAGGCATGAAAGTTAAAGATTTTTAAAAAATAAAAAATGTATGAACAGAAAACAAACATCCTCTATCAAGTATTCCAAGAAATAGTTTTACATTGCAACTCAGGCCAGACCCCAGGTTCGTTGACAGGGTACAGCTTTTTACAGTCACTTGTGACTTAAAAATTATCCTTCATTACCCATTAGTGAAAAAAAATGAATCCGTAAACCAGATTTTATTCTTGGGTCGCTATAAGCAAGTGAAGTTGATTGCAGGGGAGGTGCACAGTCTAACGAGTGTCTTCCCTGTCTGTTCTCCAAGGCCAGCTTCATCTCTCTGTGTACCTTTCATGGCATACTCAGTTTTATTAACACATTTTTTGTCTTGTCAACTTCTAAAAAAAAAAAAACAACTTCATTCCGTGTTTTTTTTTTCTCTCTGAGCCTCTTGCTCTGTACTTTGAAGTTGACTTCATTTACTGCTAACCATCAGTCAAAAATAAATGTTTCAAATCCTTTTTTTTACAACAGGTTCAGTTGTTTTCATTTTATCAAGAACTCAGCTGACTTGAATTGCTACAATAGAACTCAAAATAACTCTTCTAAAATGGAAATTATGATCTGGATTTGGAATGTAAGCAGTGATGGAACATACTCTGAACCAAATTTTCAGATGTAGAATTAGCACTTCAAATATGTATAACAAATTTAGTACCAGAGAAAAGAAAGCTGAACATAGAATAGGCTTCACAAGAGATAGTTTTACCCAAGTTGCTACAAAACCAAAATATTAACTTAAACTAGTCCTGTTCTTAAATAACCTCGTCAGATCAAAATATGAACGTCATGCATGGTGCCAAACCTTTCAAAAACAAAACTGTCAGCTGTATACAACTGCCTTCTCGGATCAATGCTTAAAAATGGCTTTGACCAAATAAACCCTGTAGGTTTTAGTTAGGACCATCCTTCATCAAAACTTGTGCTACAGAATCCTAAACAAAAGAAGTGTACCTACTATCAGAAACAACATAACATGTGGGCTTTCAGCTAAACTAGAATGGATGTTGTGTGTAACTTGAGAGAATAATGATATAATCAAGATGTTGAATTTCAGCACTACTTCAAACAAAAGGTTAAGAAGGAGGCCCCCATCAGTACTGGAACAAGTAATAACAGCTACTGGACTTCAGAAACCTATTTCCCTGAAAAATTGTTTTAAGTTAGATATAAATTTCAACTGACAGCCACAGTGTCTGGTCGGCCAAATGTTTCCTTATAAGAAAACTGCTAATATTTAACCCTTTATGCCACTGAGAAATTAATCTAAATTTTCTGAAATGTCTTGCAATCATGAATCGTACAGTTAAAATTAACATACAGAGTCAGACGTTAAACTTTAGTCACATTATGAAAACTGGTTTGATGGTGATTTTGGTTGAATTAGCCACTCTGCCATCACTCACATTGTTTTTTTTTTTTTTTTTTTTTTTTTTTTTTTTTAAGCAATTTTCTATAGTAATTCTCTTGTGGAAATCTTCACACTTTGTGCTAAATAAATTCCACAATTTTTATATTCTATTCTTGCAAGTAGACACCTTCAATATGCCTGATGCTAACCTCCAGGAGAGTGACTCATCATGCCTTCTCGAGCTAACATTCTTGGCTGACATGTGGTGGAAAGACTATATTGGAGCCATTGTGAGGCCTGCTGCTTAGTTTGTTCAGTGTCGTGATACTTTTTTTTTTTTTTTTTTCCAGAATCTTTTACATATTTATAAGTCTACCATTTGTCCATGCCTTGAATATTGCTGCCACGTATTGGTCCAGTGCTTCTACTATATATTTAAAGATTCTTGGTAAAATCCAAAGAAGAATCAACAATATTGATCATGACCTGGCATCTTGGCTTGAGTCACTTTCCTACTGCCATAAAATTGCTTGCCTGTACCTTTTCTATAAATACTTTCAAGATAATTGTTCAGATTTGCTCTATGGTACTTAGACTTGATGAATTCAAGCACAGTATAAGATTAGCAACAATGTCCCATCAGTTTACAGCTGAGGTGGCTAGATGTAACTGTAAGATCTATGATAACACTCTCTTTTCTTGCACTCTTCACTTGTGAAACTCTTCTTGCTTTCCATACAAGTTTGATCTTCAAAAATTCAATGTCAATAGTTACCTACTGTATTACTAATTATTCTTTTATTGTTCTAACTCCTCAATAATAATTCTGTTTTCTAATTCTCTCACACCTAGTAACCTCTTAGTGGCTTTACTGCCTTAGATGGGTAAATTCTATTAAAAATTCTCTTACTATCTATGCCGGCGATACAACTATTTAATGCTGTCTCTTAAAAGTAAATCTGATCAGTTCAATAAGGTCAAATTGGCAGCTGATCTCAAAAATTATCTACAATCTGTTAAATGGGGTAAAGAGCTTGTTAGTTTTAAATAAAAAAAAAATAAAAAAATAAAAAAAAATGAAACAGCTCTCATTGAATCATCTGAGAGAAGACTTTTTACATTCCATCAGCATAGGTGATGCTAACCTTCAGGAGAATGAATCATTGCATGTTTTCAGGTGACATAAAGTGGGAATATTATATTGAATTACTTCCTAAGACTGCAGCTAAGTAAGTTGGTTCACTATAACAATTTTTCTCTCTGAAATCTATCTGACATATTTATAAGTCTACCTTTCATCCTTTCTTTGAATGCTGCTTCCACATATAGTCTGGTGCTCCTGTTATATATTTAGAATCTGCAATGTTATTGCTCCTGATATGGTATCTCAGCTTCATTCCCTTTCTCACTGTAATGTGGCTTCCCTGTGCCTTTTCTATAAATACTTCAATAGTAATTGTTCTGATGAACTTTCTGCTATGCTACTGAGACTGACTTTAATCGCAGTACTAGATTGGCAGCATGGCTTCATCATTTTACAGCTGAAATGGCTTGATGTAATTACAAGTTCTATGCTAACTAATTTTCTTCTCACTTGTGGAACTCTTTCCCTACTTCTTACTTCCCAGGCAACTTTAATCTTCAAAAATTTAAATGCAATATCAATCGTTATCTTCAGTCTTCTTAATTCCTGTACTTTTATTGTTCTCTCTCCTTAATAATTTTTCCTATTATTTTTTTTATTCCCCACCACCTCAGACAAATTGTACATATGGGAACTAGTTAGGACTACATAGACTTGAGGTATTATGGTGACTGCAGTAGTAAGAATGGTAAATAAGAACATGTTGTTTTGGTGTAAAGAATACTGTAGTATGTTAGGGTCAGTAATTGTAGCTAGCTAAGTTTAAGAAAAGACAGAATTAGGACCAGGCTTCTCTTATCCCCCTTTTGGCCTTGTGCCACATTTTGGTATTATAATAAAATATTACATTTCTTTATAGTACCTAGACTTTATGAATTTAAGTGCAGTACTAGATTGGCAGCATGGTTTCATCATTTTACAGTTTACTTAATCTCTTAGTAGCTGTAGAAAATTGATTAATTCATGGACTTGAAAGGATTCAAACCAAAGTAAATAGACATATGTCAAATTACTTAACCAAACATACTTGAATCAAAATATGCTGCCTATATATATATATATATAAATAAAATATAGATGGAGGCATGGTGTAGTGGGTATCAGCTTGGACTGAGGGCTCGGTCGATTTCAAATTCCAACTGAATCTATTACATTCACTTACATGCTAATACCCTTGAGGAAAGTATGTATCCTCTTCTCCCTACAGCTATGGGTAATTAACAGGACAGACTCTGTTCTATAGCCTTGAAGGGTAACTCTGAATTCAAAAACTGCCAAGGGTTGTTTGGGGACCTTGTGACATGTAGTGCACCAGCTCTCTGTATTCAGCCCTTCAAAAAGTATGGTTGGTTCTGAACAAAGCCTTCACCACTATAATCAAATCATATGTAATGGTGTCTGGCTGTCGGTTCCTAGGAACTGAGTTGCTGACCCCCATACATTGAATACTATGGGAGAGTACACCATATATATATATATATGTATATATATATATATATATATAATGTGTGTGTGTGTGAAAAAATATATAGAAAATAGGAAAGAACTCGTTAGATAAATAATCCAAAGTTCTTTAGTATTTTTATTATTTTTAAAAAATAGTGCTCGATACAAAAGTAGAGCATAAATATAGTTATTTATTTAAAAATATGATTCCAACACGCTGCATAAGAGTTCTCATGTTTCAAAACAGAAATAAAACTCGTAAATTTCAGAAATAAGTTATTCCCAAAAAAATTTCGCTTGAAGATGGAACAGAGATTAGTGCTTTAATTCAATTTATTTCAAATAATTATATTGAAGTTTTTGGCTCTTGTTTTGAAACATGAGAACTCTTATGTATCGTGTTGGAATCATATTTTTAAATAATATATATATATATATATATATATATATATATGCCTCAAGATCCCATCATTTTACAGTTTAAATGGCAAGGGTTTTTTTCTGCAACTTTGTGTTTGAGAACTTCCCATAAATTCCCAATTGTTCTCCCTGAATCTATTATACATATTTACAAGTCTACCATTCATCGATGATTTTAAATATTATAGTCTGGTGCTGCTCCTATTATATATTTAGTGATACTTGATAAAATCCAAAGAATATGTAATATTATTAGTCTTCTCCTAGTATCTCAACATTAGTCACTTTCCCACTACCATAACACAGCGTTCCTGTGCCTTTTCTATAGACATTTTCATGGTAATTGTTCTGATGAAATCTTCACTATGGTAACTAGACATGAATTTAAACACAGTACTAAATTGGCAGCATGGTCTCATTTTGCAGTTGAAATGACTAGAGTAAGCCATAAGTTCTGCGCTAAAAGCATCTTTTCTCACGCTTATCACTCATGAAACTCTCTTCTGGCTTCTTGCTTTTCAGTCAAGTTTGGGCTTCAAAAATTTAAATGTAATATCAATTGTTATTTTCAGTCTCAATTACTGTTGTTTTATTGTTCTCGCTCCTTAATAGTAGTTTTTCTTATATTCTTTAATGTACAATAACCCTTTACATCTTAGTGGCTTTATTGGCTTACTTGGGGTAAAATTATTAAAAAAAAAAAAATAAATAAATAAAAAACTACTTTGTAATATGGAATTTTATTTTATTTATTTATTTTTCCTTTTCAGGTTATCTTAAAGACATGACGGGCAATGTGAACGCGACTTTCTACATGAGTGGTGCTATGTTGACCCTCTCCGGAATACTGTCACTTCCGCTGAACCGACTCAAAAACTGGCAAGAAGAACGAAACAAAGCCAGTCCAGAAGAAGTCCCCATTAACGACACCGTTAAGACAGAGAGTCCTTCAGACAGTGGTGTCAGTGTTACGTGATGAGGTTATGTTTTGTCTATTATTGCACCTCTGCACATGTGATATATACATATATGTATATAGATGGTTTATGTCTTTTTAGAAATATATATATATATATATACACACACACACACATATATGTATGTCGCGTTTCAAGCAATGAATGTTGACAAAAGAAGACTAATGAAGGGAAACGAAGTTGGAAAAATGAAGGAGGAATTACAACAGCCTTTTTTTCTCTTTTTAGTTTTATTGAAAAGTTCATAGTTCGAAGTTAAAATGGGACATTTTTTATGAAAACCATGTGAAATATTAAGACAAAAAAAAATGGAACTGGAAAAAAAGATTTTGTAACTACTCCAAGGAAGGAAGGAAGATTGATTGAATGCTGTGACCAGATTCTTTAACGTTGCTATTAGATGCTAATCGTCACTACAAAATTATGGATGTGACTTTTTAATTGAAGGAAAGACAACAAACAATGAACAGAAATTTGGGTCAAAAATTTGTTACTGCCCCCCCCCCCCTTTTTTTTTGTTCTACTCCTGCTTGCTTGTTGTCCTCATCCTCCTGTGACAAATGTTTTCAATAGGAACAGGTTGGCAGGGGGGACATAGTTAGGAAGGTTTAAAAAAAAAAAAAAAAAAATGAAATTTGTTATTGGTTTAAAAAAATGTGAAAAGTGGGAACTAAACAAAAAGACGTGTGTGCACACCCACACAAACCCAGAAACAAAATGATTATATTCTGATTACAAATTTATGAAAAAAAAAAATTTAAATAACCTTCCTTCAAAATGTTACCAAGAAAGAATTTGATTGAATGAGAGAAAACAAAAATGAATGATATATAATTGTTTTTTTTTTTGTTTTTTTTTGAATTGAAAGAAGAAAGAATTTTTTAAAGAAAAATCAAGACAAATAAAAAAAAATTAGCCTACAAGACCACCATCCACCTATGTTAAGTACCAAAAAAATGAAGACAACTGTATTTAAATTGAAATTGTTGACCACAAAATTTTTATTTCTATTTTTTTCCTTGTATCTGTTATGACAGATGCAACTAAATGGCCCGCTAAAAAAAAAGGAAAAAGAAAAAACCAACCAGATTTAGCATGAAATTTTTAAAATAAACTGGGGTTTTAATTTTGGATAATGAAGTAAAAAATTTTGGGAATGGTGGTTGAAAGAGGACCTCTTTCCGCTTCCTCTTGGAAATAAGAGCTGAAGAAGCAAAATATATAAATATATATATATATATATATATATATATATATAAAATGATACAAAATACTTTTATTCTGCCCCTATACACATTTACACAAACCCTATTAGCCAACAAATTCTCATATGTACATATAAATACACACTTGTGAATCCATTTGAACTTTTCTGTATTATTTTACACATATAACAGTGACTCAAAATGCATTGTTGACATGAGAGGATTGTGTGGGTGATAGTTTGAATGCAGAGTTGGAGACGATAAGTCATAAAATAATCATATGTGAATGACGTATGGACATGAAAAATTAAAGACATCTCTTTTATTAGCTAAAAAAAAAACTATAAAACATTGCTAAAGATAAATAGAAAATTTGGACGTTATTTTTTTTTTTTTTTTTTTTAATCATTGTGGTTTTGTCCAAACTTTTTTTTTTTTTTTTTTTTTTTTTTTTTTTAAATATTTTAAAATTTTTTTGACGATACATAAAAAAAAAAATTTATATACAAATAAATTTTAAAAAATATAAAAAAAAAAAAACCCACCCAAAACAAATTTAAGCAAATTTTTTATTGATTATATCTGTGGACAAAGAACTGATGAAAAAAAAAAAAAAAAAATTAAATTTAAAAAAAAAAAAAAATAAATTTGACATCAGGGATGAAAAATTGAACAGTCAATTTTATTTTTTCTCTTTCTGTTTGCCTGTCCAGAAAGTGGTGTTTCTGATAATGATGGCGGGTGTTTTTCTTGGTAGTAGCCATCAACTGTGGTGGTATTATTAACTTGTTATTGGTGATGATAAATGAAGTATTTTGACAGTAATACACAAAATATTAATGATTATGCTGATTGTAAAACTTCTGTAGAATATTTTCAGTATGAAAAAAAATCTCTGAAACAAACATGAGCTATTAATAGTTACAAGAAAAAAGGATAATTCATTAATATTTTCGCATAAATATTTTATTCTTAATATAATTTTTTGAGGGGAAATAGAAAATTTAGAGTCTTCAGAAAAAAATTACTTGTGATAATATTTACAGCTGTCTTTCAAATTAGGACAGATGTAAAATAAATATAAAATGTGTTGTGGGGGAACATATTGCAAATAAAATACTATTATATGTTTGTAGCAGGTGCAGGGCATATTGCATACAGAAAATATATCACTGAGAAACCATTGCTGATATTTTTTTAAATTCAAACAAGATCTACAAAAAATTAGCCATTTTTGACAATTTAATAAAAGCAAAACAAAAATCTATAAATATAAAAATGTCTAGGTGACTTCAAAAGGGATCTCCTTCAGCAGCCATTTTACTGGATGGCTACATATTTTTTTTTTCTTTCTTTGAAACATTTTCAATCATTATTTTTACTTCTTCCATGTTGATATTATTTAAAACAATGAACTTTATTTTTTTTATTTTTTTTTTTTTCATTGAATACAAACTCAAAGATTGATTGCTGATGAGTTAAGGCTAAAAATGGAATATTTATTTATCTGTCACTTTTTTGCCTCTATTATCAAAAAAAAAATTAGATATTTGACTGTTAGTTAATATTTTTTACTAATTTAAAAAAAAAAAAAGAAAAAATAAAGAAAACTGGTCCACAGAAATAAAAGCTCTTATGAAAGAAAGAAAGAAAAAAAAAAAAGTGCATTCTATGTCATGTCATTTTCAAATCTTATTTTCTATTCTCTAAAATGTAGACAACATTTTTCTTGCAAACCATGTCTTCTTTGAATGTTGGGATTTTGATAATCTGAATGATGTACTCACTTCTTGCAAGTTTAAATTTTTTCACTTGCCAAGTTAATAAGTTGTTTTTTTTTTTCTTCTTTTTTTTTTTTTTTTTTTTTTGTGCCCATTTATTGAAAGATGATTTTATAATATTCCAATGCAAAGAGTGTGCCTCATCAGAATTGAATTTCCCCACAATCTTTTCAGATGTCATGATTTAATTTTTCATATGTATGGATTCTTTTTGTCTTCATTTCATCTTAGTGACAAAAATGTATATGGAAATTGCTATATTTTTGTATTTTTTTCCTCATCTGTTCCCCCCCTCCCGCATATCTTCATCCAATAACAGCAGGAAAATATTAAAATATATTATTCTTAGATTCAAGAAAATTGGTCATTTTCCTCCAGTTACTTTTCTTTTTTATTTCTAACAGGTTTTTTTTTTTTTAATAATTTGATTAAAAAAGAAAAATCTTTTATATCCTAAACCACGTATCTCTTGTATAATTTTTTTTTTTTTTTATTAATGACGGCTTTCAGAAATAGCAGTATGAAATTTTGGGGTAAAGTTAATTTTATTCAAACTTTCCATTTACTCTGAATGTTTCTGAGCTTGTTTGTAATAATGCTTTAGAGTCTTGAATTTGGATCACCTTGCATTCCCAAAAATAGTAATGATAGCCATTTTCATATTTTCATCATCCTTAAATTCAGATGATCATGAAAGTTTAAAGTTCTTAAATTTTTATTTTTATTTTTTTTCTCTCATATCAATTTTTCTTGGTTGGAAAAATTTAGTAAATCTCAAATTTAGTTAGAATCAAAAGCAAAAATCAGTATCTTCTAGTCCAAACCAATTTCGCTTTTCTGATCATTATACACATGAAAGTAACAAAACTGAAGAACTAACATCCACCTTTTTGTCTTTTTTTTTTTTTATTACATACATACATACATAAATGGTTACTCATTTTCTGAGCACTCCTGTCTGCTAGGACAGCTAACCAATCCCTGTTGCAGATGTTTGCTCAGATGCATTTGATTTTGTTCACACACGCACAGTCCATCTGGGGTTTATACTGTAGATATGCTGAGCAGACTTTAGTTACAGTTTATAGGAGAGAGTCCATAATCTGGTATGATCAGCAGTTTGAACCACACCAGTACACTCAAATCCTTGGTTACAATGACTTGTGACTTCATGCTAGCACCAACCATTGATGGCTTCCGAACAATTCTATCTACCTAGCTTCACACACAAGGCTTGAGTCAACCTGTGGAATGGTTTTCAGTCATTTCCCAAAAGAGCTGCACACTGGGATTGCCTCCCCTCATAAATCAATTGTGTTGAAAGTCAAACCTAGGTCTCATGATGAGAACATGAACATTCTAACCTCCTGGCCAGAAATATGCGCACATACATATATACATGTGTATATATTTATAATTTTTTTTTTAATGGTCAAACTAGCTCAGACATTCATAAATTTGACCAGCCATCATGATCAGAATGTCATTACGGTGGCAGTCTGTCATAAGATAGCTGTTCAATGTAGGTGTCCACTGGGTAACCAACCAGTCTTGCTCCATGGCTAGATGTTCAGTGCAATAGATCACTTGCATATTCTTGTTTTGCTTGCCAGCAGTGTCCTGCAAAGAGCATTCTCTGTTCATGTAAGATTGTTGAAATATCAGGGATGAGTCCACAGAACTGTGATTTAGTTGGATGTTTTCTCCAAGAGATGTTAAATATAGCTTTCAGCATCTAAGTGTAGCTTCCATCAAGCTTAGACACAAGGGTTTTAGTTAATGTCCAAACAGTGGAAGCATACATTAAAACCGCCTCTAAGGTGGCTTGAAAGAATCTCCGTTTGAGGTTGTCTAGTAGATCAGATTTCCAGATTACATCCATTTTATTCCAGACAACCCAGGCTTTGGCTATGGGAATTTTCACATCCTTTACAGTAGAATTTATTTCACTTCCTGGGAATGCAAAAGATTCGACAGATTTTATTGATTCTTCTTAGTTCGTATTGAACCTTG